TGTACTCTGTGGAGGGTTGATGTATTTGGCGACTAGATTATCCCTAAAATAGGTACGATCTGGATGTTCACATAGTTTTCTGCAGGTGGCCACGTTCATGCAGGACAATGAAAAAGGGGCTAAGTCAATAAAAATTTTTAATTATTATAAATGCTTGCACAGGTACTTTAGCTGCTAAAGCCCCCAAATAAAAAGAACGTGGCTAGTGTGTTTACTTTCTTTCTGCATATATATAACTGCTTGAGAATAAATATATCCTAATTTATTAATTGCTTAGGATAACCTTGCAGGAGAGTCTAGAATTTTGATTTGATATAAATATAATTTGTATAAGTGTCAAGTGTTGTGAAAGTGAAGTTTTGAATTGGGATACATAGGTCCAAAGCTTGGACTCTAAAGAAAAAAGGACATCCCTTAGGGGAGTAGCCCTTTTCTATTTAGAGATCCAAATTTGAATCACTTCTTTCCTACCCAAAGAGGAAAGAGTGGCATTCCCCTCAAGGAAAGTGCCCTCTTATCCATTTGGGTAGCCTACTACAAATAATTCAAGAAGTCAAAAGGAGATGAACCCGAAGGAGAACAAGATTGAAGACTTGAATACAAAGAGTATCCCATTCAAAACCACTTGCGTCTCTACTAGGTTTAGAATCCGGGTTATTGTCAGTGGTGCCCGGCCACTTTACTTTCTGCAAAATTCTGATTTGTAATAAGCAATGTAACTTTACCTATGTACATTTATTAATTAATTCATTTATATTTGATGTGTTGAGATGATTGCCTTTAGGATTGCCTACTTTTCTTAGTTTTTTGGCGTTTGTGTGCCGATTTTATTTTCGCCTAGATACGTAAGACTCGTAAGGGTGTGAAAATTTTTATACTCATAATCTTAAAAGTTTAAAATTTTAGTGAGTCTAAATAACATAGAAAGATAACGAATTTAGGGAATTAGCCGGGGATCAACCCCGGGGTCGCATGCATATTTCTGCACTACTCTCTCCTTATTTTAGACCCTTCCCCGCCTGCGGGTAGAGTCCGGATAGTCTGACCAATGAGGACGAGGTGCCGGACCTGGGGAAGCCCAGTCTTCTAAAAAATTATTTTTTAAGCCTGTTTTTAAAATTTCAAGCATACTTGATTTGAAGTTGTCAACTAGTATGCATCACATTAAAAACAAATTAAAAGAGTCAAAATTTTAATTGCATTAGTCCTTAGCATTTTGCACCCAACATAAGTTAAATGGGCCAATTAGGGAAATCTCTAGATGTCGGCCCAGCACTCCAAAACTTTAAATAAAATGTCTATACCACTCTTTCATAAAAGACCAGACTCATCTCTTTTAAATCGAATAGGTGATCAGCTGGCTCCCCAATCTAGGTCGGGGTAAGTCCAGATTTTGCACTGCATTAGTTAAGTTCGGATGACTGTGATCCAGTCTCCAAATTTAGATTTAGGATCTGGGATAGATCTTTGATTATAATGCCCTAACCTTCGGGAATATAATCCCAAATTTCTAATAAAATGCTCAACTCTAACTAAATTTCATTTCAGTCCAAAATTTAAAGCCTAACACTTAGCTTAGATTGGGGTACTTCTGAATTATTTAAGAATCTCTAGGTACCTCCTACCTCTCCTCCGTTGACTCCGGAAATAAGTGTTCAAAATTCGATCCAATCCTGATTGAAATTTCAAATTCACCTCCTTGATATCATTACAAGAAAATTTTAAAATAAAATTTCTGCCGTTATTTTAATCGAGAGTATTCGTAAGGAATTCAATTTTCCTATGATGTAATTAACTACGAGGGCTTGCGCTCGTAGGAGATTTAGAATCCACATCAATTTTTCAAAAAAAAAATAATTAATATTTCTTTTGGGGAATCAAATTTATAACAATCGTTATTGTCATTATCGAATGACTGCTAACAAATGATATTTTCTTTCTTCGGGGAGATTTATTTTGTGTTAACATAAATTCGAATATGAAATTAATGATCACTTCTCTTGATTATCGTAGTCGAAAATTTGATTGAACTTCGTTTTGACCCTCCGGGGTCATATATGGTTCTCCCTTAAATTAGACTATAATAGCCAAGTGAAAATTTACAATTCTGGGTCTGAACCCGTTAGGAGATTTTATCTCCGCATTCTAAGTCGGTATACCATAATTAATGGTTTGTTCGACTTCAGAATTGAAATTTAAATTTAATTCCCAATTTTCCCAAAGAAATTTAATTAAGATTTGTTTTGCACCTTGCAAGGCAAATCGCCTTTTCAACACCAACATATGGATGGTCTATTCTAAATAATGTTGAGTTCATAGTTGTTACATATGATAAATAAAAATTCGTAGTTGCTTCTGTAAAGCATGAAGCTTGGTAAAACCTTGTTTATGGCATTTGCATGCATGTGTAAGCAAGCATTTAAGTTATGTTTGGAAAATCTCCTTTGTAGATCATCACATATGTACCAGCCCTATCCTTCTTGCTAGTAGCAGACAATGCAATTCACAATTCATCAACTATTTCATATTTCCTACTATAAGACAATGAGTGGACCTTAATCCTAGATAGATCATAGGAGAGGATCAATTGTAATCAATGTGCATGTGGGAGTAGACAAAGAGTATTCTATAAATCGCTACATGCGGGGGTTTAGATCATGGGTTATACAATACATGTTGAAAACACCAACTGAGCCTCCTACCAGTTACTATCCTCTAACCCCTTCAAGTGACATTTGGTAAGTCGTACTTAATCATCATTTTAATAGCCCTATCACTTATGTCATATTCTACTAAAGTGTTCATATAGTAATTACGACACCATTTCTTTCTCAAGAAGGAGAACACCTTACAACATTATTTTTGTGGAGATGTTGACACTAACATTCAGTAGGCTGTGAATAGAGTTGAAGAGCTCATCCATATAGTACATAAGCAGATGCACATCATTCACACTCATTATGAAGATAACCTAGTTGGGATCAACCCATCCTTTACTACTACACTAACTTTTATAGACCATTATGATATAGATGTTGGCTTTTCCTCTTATATCGATTAAGACCCATCATAAGACTTCTTCCATTACCCTACATAGTAGGATATGTCATCATTGTTCAGTCTAGGGTATGTTCATACCACCACACAACCTACAGGCCAGGTTAACATTGAGCAGCATAACTTATGATTATCCTTATGGGGCAGCATAACTTATGAGGTTGACCAGTTCAACCACATCAACACTACAAAACTGACACTGATGCCATACTTTGTAGGCTGCGGTGGATGGGAGTATTCTGAGTATCGCATCTGGTCGCAGGCCGTCGGAGGAATGCAGCATGGTAGAGTATATGGCTTAGGTGCGCAAGCACAGGCATACGAGGGGATGACCTCCTCTACTGCATCCAGCTTCACATCCAGTTCGCATGAGTCCTTGCAATCTCAACAAATAAGTGCCCTTCAAGCTGAGCTATAACAAGTAAGGAAATCACAAGCTGATTGGCAAGTTCAGCTGCAAGCACAGGTTCAAGCTCAACTGCAAGCACAAGTTCAAACAAATATTGAGCAACACAATCAGTTGTTGGATGAAATGCGCAAGATGAGGGAGCAGCTGAGTGGAAAAGACGTAGCTCCACCTGAGGAGGAGTCCACGGAGTCAGAGTAGTTTAATTTAGTTTATATGAACTTGTTTATTTCTGTGAACATGTTTTATTGAACAGTTTCTTTTAATGTGATGTTTTTAGTTGATTGTTAGTACTGAACTGTTTCTTTTAATGCTATAAACTGTTGTGAAACTGTGGTGAAATTATTAATCTGTTGTATTGTTACAATTGAAATGTTGTAGAATTGATTTTTGTATAGGTTTGCAGGTGTGGAAATTTGATTGTTGGCTGGGAAGGAAATTTTTTTTTGTCAATGCTACAGGTTTCCGGCGAATTTTGCGAAGGAACTGCGCCGGAAAGGACGATACAACGAATTGTATCGTACGTACCGACGTCTTTGTTCTGTCGGAAATTACCGGCGCATGTTCTGGCGCACAGTCGGCCGGTAATTAGCGTCGTATATTTTGTGTCGCAAGCGAAACCATGGGGTTTCTATGTCACACTTTGCGGCTTTTTATCCGCCGGTAATGTCCGGCGCATACTACGACGTTAATTACCGGTGCATATGGCGCCGGAATTAAGTCGTTTTTTTACATCGTCAACAATCCATTTTTTCGCCGGTAATGCGTCGGAAACGGCGCCGGAGAAATTTTCGGCGCATATCTTGCGCCGGAAATAAATTATCAATGCGACTTAAACCGGCGAATAAATATACGCCGAAACATGCGCCGAAAACTATATTTTTCGTCGGATTTATAAAATTTCCGGCGGATTTTTTCCGCCGATAATAAGGGGTTTTCCTGTAGATGTTGGCTTTTCCTCTTATATCGATTAAGGCCCATCATAAGACTTCTTCCATTACCCTACATAGTAGGATATGTCATCATTGTTCAGTCTAGGGTATGTTCATACCACCACACAACCTACAGGCCAGGTTAACATTGAGCAGCATAACTTATGATTATCCTTATGGGGCAGCATAACTTATGAGGTAGACCAGTTCAACCACATCAACACTACAAAACTGACACTGATGCCATACTTTGTAGGCTGCGGTGGATGCATTAAATTATGTATGTTAGAGTTATTATCATGTATCTTATTTGTGTTGTTCTTTATTGTAATTTGTCATGTATCATGTACTCTTATTTAATATAGTGTCATGAGTAGTCATTACATCCATAACCAACTAGGGATTTTATTAAATACATGTTGGTGGTAAGCACTAATTATAATGTGATAAGGAATAAATGTCTCTTTAAAAATAAACAATAAATAATTTCACTTTCACATTATAGCTAGGAATTTAATTCCATTAATACTAATCAGTCTTTTATTATTAATATGTATTTCATTAAAAAAATTATGTCAACTCGTCTGATTAATAGTCGATTTACTATTAGGCCCAATCATTCTTTAAATGGGTGACTTTAATTTTTATTTTTATTTTTTGGTAATTAATTAATTACTTAATTTATTTATAGAATCTATTTTAAAATTTACCCTTAACTTATTCAACATTTAAATTTTTTATTTCAAAATATTATATTACCTTAAATTTTGTTAAGGAAAAAACCTTTATGATAATTGAACAATGATGACATCTCACTTGCAGGAAACCACTTCAATAGGATGAGAAAGTAAAGAAGAGGAAGGGTATTGTGATAAGGAAGTTGTGACAGTGTGAGAAAGTCATGATGGGATCTAGAAGAAGGGACACCATAAAACCCAACCCGAACGGGGTCACAACAACACTTGGATCCACGTTTCTTTGAGGATAATACCTGACTTTACTAGTAGGTCTACCTAGGGAGCAGTTGAACTTGTAGGTGAGAGTGGAGTGTGTTGAAAGAGAATTAGAGGAAAACTAGAGATCTAAGATCAATAGAAATATTTCTACCAGTTCAAGGGATCCCTTAGGATATATTTTAAAAGTTTTATTTTCTAAATAGTACCCATCACCTTTTATTTATACTATTTTTGAGTTACATGAAGGGATACATGGAAAAAAAATAAATAAGACTATACATTTTACATGTACAAAGCTATACCACACTTTATGAATGTGTCGCACATTGATTGGTGGTAGAGTTAGGGGGGAGAATTTAGCTTCGGGTGAGTGAGACAATACTAAGTTGGCACTTGCAAGAGACATAGATGGTGAGTTCCATTATGAATGGCATGTTTGTGAGTTGACATCAAATTAGATAGATTCTATAGAAGCAACTGGTTGGTAGTTGTTGTCTTATGCTAAGTCAAGAATAATCTTGGAAGAACGGGAACGTGTAATGAAGAAGCTAAGATTATGTGATGGGAGCTAATGAATAATATAGTGGTGAGTGACAAGCTGTTTGCCTGATAGATTGCCCTTAACATGCACCATTTATGAAGAATTGCCTATTTGGTTCAAGCTAGTGTCCAAAGGATTTCCTCTTCATGTTGAGTATCATTATCACAACCCAATACTACTTGTTAAACCCCTCTGAAGACTTATATTCATATACAAACACAACACTAGAAATGAATATTAATGGGACATAAAATGTATATAGTGGCGAAGCGTAACAGGATCGACGTGTGTTATTATTTATATTATTTAAAGTCTTAAGTTTATATAAGTAAATAATTAAATTTAGATGTTAATTATGTAATTAAGTAAGTTTTTAATTGTTATGATTGAAAATCCTACAAATAAAAAAATATTATAAAAAATCTTTTTATTTATTAATTATTAATTTTTTATGTTCCTTGTGGCCACTCTCTCTTGTGTAGGAGTGGTTCAACCAGCCGGTTCCATTCGTCAGCATGTTTCTATTTTTCAATGAACGTAGTGCTCAAAACTCATATATTTGTTTGAACTTCTGGGAGTATTTGCTTGTAATTACTGGGCTTCTATTTTCCTCTATCAAACTTCTTCAGGGTTGTCAACATCTTCTTGGTATAAATTACTAGACGGTTGACAAGGCGAAAATATAGGCATCGTTTAAGACAGTTTTGTATTTCATTTGGGACAACTTTTTACTGTTTTTAAGAATAATTTTTTAGAACAAAATTTTTTGAAATTAGAAATTTTTGTGCTTGAAAACTGCTTCAAAAAGCAATAAAAAAGCTACACAAAATAAAGCCATAGACCATGCTTTTTTCTGCTTTTAAGAGATTTTTATACTAAAACAACTTTATAAAACAATAAGAAAGTTGCCCCAACTAAAATCATAAACTTCTTCCATTTACTATATTGGTTCAAATATGCTTCTTTTCTCAACATTTTTTATTAAAAGGTTTTAAACGAAATTTTAGGTAAGAAAATAAGCAGTGGCTTCCAACCAATAAGATAATAAATTATAGAGTTCAAGAAGTAGTCATATAAATTAGCCGTCTAATTGAAAACTCTAAAGACTTGTCAACGTCGCATATGTATTCTTAGGACAGATCTTAAGGCAGCAGATTATTTCAAAGGATGAATGAGTTTTTTGTTTTTAGAGGGGGTAAAATAGGATTGAAACATGCTTAGTTTTAAGGGGCAAAATTAAAAAAGAACTTTTTTCCATAGAGTGTTTTGCAAAAAACATTTATGAAAGGGCAAAATATCTAAAATATTTAATTTATTAAGAAGAAAAAATTTTCAAGAGGGACAATCAATGAAAAATAGTATTTTTTTATTAAGAAAATGAAGAGTGAAGGAGATTCTTTAAATTAAAAAAAAAAAAAATCCTACTCATATTCGTAGCCTTACCCAATAATAATAATAAGGGGGATTTACATATATACATACCACTTTATTTCATGCTATTTATCTATCTAATACTCAATACTTTAATATTACATTTATACCACTCATATAAAATTTTAATACCAAATATATCACTCTTATATTTCACTCTTACCACTCATACCATCCTATAAACTTTAATATTTCATTCAATGCATCAGTATTTATTTTATAGATGATCTGCATGTAATATTAAAATTTTAGGTGTTAGATGTATAAATATCAAAAAAAAAAGTGGTATGTATGTAAATCCCATTAGTAGTAATAATAATAATAATAATAATAGTAATAGTAACATCCTAAACCAGCAAATTACAGAAATACCTTACAAAGTCGATATTTATGAAAGATTCACTAGCATAGAAGATGCTAGTGGGAAAGTAGCAGTGGCTAGATTTCTTCTGGGGAAGGATAAAGAATTTTGCACCTCAATTATTATTTTTTTTTAATGGAAAATTGAAGGACTAGCCCATTTTCATTAGGATAAAAAGAAGATTATAAGAAGATAAAATCCATAACAGCCCAATTGAGAAGAACATAACAAGAGAGCTGCAAAAAGCTATGCAGAAAATCATAGCAAGAAGAAAATTGAACCTGTAGACATAAGAGAATGCTTTCCTCTTTTTCTTTTCTATTATTCCACCCTTTAGCAACTATATTTGAATAAGCATTGAGTCAAACAAAAAGATTTGGATCCATTTCATGAGCTTTGACAAAAAATCTTATATGATTGATTGTTGGTGTAAAATTAATCTAAAATTTTCAATTCAAATATGAAATTTTTATTAAAAATTTCTTAAATTTACCATAAATTATAGAGTTAAAATTAAATATTTCAAGGAGATGGATCCTTTTGCAAATTTTGATTTGTCCTTTCTTCTGTAATTATCCCTAAGCATTCTTCTATTGTAGATTAGATCCAAATGTTTAGCTTAGGCATGTAATGCCAAAACTATGGCTTAGCTAATTTTCTCAACTAATGGGACAATATAATATATGTTGAGCTGTTAATATTTTGTCTGTGATAGAACAGCTAGACATTTGCATTCTTCTAAGTGTGCCAAAATTTTTGCTGAAGATATTATATTATGCCACAGTTTGTTTTATTTTGGAGTTCTTGACAAAAGCATTGAAATAAAAATAAATTGATCTTATAATTTAAAAAATTTCAAAGAAAAAGATTTGGGTCAGATATTTTGATTAAATTTTTAGGTTGATAAATGTCAGAAGACTTTTGAAAGCATAAAATAATATTTGATGAATCCTTTAGTATTTGAATGGTCCTATTTAAGGGAAATCATTAATCCTATATAGAGAAGCTTAAAGTGAATTCCTTTTCAGTAACTTGTTTTTTTTTTTTTTTGGAACGGAGGTATCGGCCCGCAGCCACGTCAGCTTGTAACGCTCTTGGCGATGTCCACTAATCCCTCATCTAGTCTACCAGCAACCAACCCCACAGGTGCAGGACCCACAGTTCTTTTCTCTCCACTTAAGGAGTCGTGCAGTATGAGAGGGGATTCGAACTTGGGATGAGGGGTTGCCAACCAAGCACGCCCACCAACCCACCTATGCCCGGTGGGATAGATTTTTGCTTCCAACTGAAACAAAATACCCTCCAATTGAGAAATATTGTCTAGCATTGATCTTTGCTGCTCAGAAATTAAACACTACATGTTGTCTCAAAAAGTAAATTTAATATCTAGAATAAACTCATTGTAATATCTAATGACTCATCAGACATTATCAGGAAGATTAGCCAGATGATTGATGATTACGCTACAATTTGATATTTTAGAAAGTCATTGGATTTATATTAAAATAAACTTTTATAAATATGATTGATTAAAATGATCTTATAATTTAAAAATTTGAGACTTTTCTGGTTGAAAAAATA